TATGCTAAAATTAGATAGCTTCACTGCAGGTGCAGATCAGTCGGTGGACCATTGTTCAATAGTCTTTAGTTTAGGACAAAGCTGTCATTTCACTGAAAACAATACCATACGATCAAGATTCAAAACAAAACAAGAGTATTTGGAAAATGAAATTATAAAAATGAGTGCCATTTTAGGAGCACTTGACTTCCCATATGTGAAAATTTGGAGTTTTAAACTGCAACAAAAAAATTGAAAGCAGCATAGAGCTGTGCCAGCTGTCATCAAACAGGAACAAATAAGTAGGAATGGGTGATATGGCTGAAAAACGTATCGCAATTTAAGCAGCTCGTGTCAGTCCATATCACTAATTATTAATTTGTGTTTTTGTTTTAAAACATAAATTAGTAATAGTAGTATTTTACTACTCTGGCAAAATACTGAAAGAGTAGCAACACGACCTTTTCTTCTTTTATCCAGTTTTCTCTAGCGCATTTTCTCCTTTTATCTCGCACGGTTGAGATAATAAATTCATTCTTTTCCCACAAAGCTAATGAATCCTAGCTAGCATGATTAGCCATTTTGGGGGTCGAGCCCTGCTTCCTCTCCATCACAAGAGGAAGCCACCAAACAACTGTCAGCGCTGTATAGCAGCAGTCACACTGCATTTTTTATAACTGATTAGTCTGACTCTCAACATTGTCAGCTCAGTGTTGCAAACAAAAGAGTTTGAACACTGTTTCCTACCGAGTAGCTTCCTGTGTGTTATTGCGGCACCGAGAAGGCATACACAGTGGTAAATACTGACCGTTTTTGTGAACGAGGCCAGTGAAGTACAACCGAGTGTGTTGAGGGCAACATAAAACTGCTACGGCGCAAGTTGCTCAACAAGTTGTTGCTAGCTAGCGAGTGAGAGAGTTAGCTGATGTCACCAACCTAGCTTAGCTAAACATGAGAGGTTGGGCAGATACACCCCCTCTAATGCTGGGCATTTCTGAATCGGAGTTTAGTGAAATTATCCAAATTCTATCAGACGTATTATTTATTGATATTGGTCAAGTGTTTATAACAATATATCATTTTTTTATTGCCCAACCCCACTGGTGAGCATATAAGCTCCTCTTAAGTCTATCTTTTTTAAAAAGTAACCATTAAATGACACTTTATGAAATAAGAAATAGAAGTATTCAAAGTCCATTGATACGGTTGTGGATAAATCAGCAGGAGTTGAATCACGCAGGAAAAAAATTTGTACCATAGCAACCATACGAAAGGACAGCAGCCAACAGACTCATAGCAGCTCCGGTGGAAGAATCTGAGAAATAACAACTATTGACATGTGCTAAAATGGCTCAGTCAAAGTCCCTGACATAAATCAGGTGCTATTCAACTAATCTGACTGAGGTGGAGCTCACAAGAACATAGTTCTTGTTATCAAAGCTGAATACAAATGCACACCACACTTTTCAGATTTCCATTTGTAAAAAAAATAGAAAGTAAAAAAACCTACATACTCCAGAATTGTTATGCTTTTAGTTGGTATATAACACAAAAATCCCAATAAAACGCACTGAAGCTCGTGGTTTTAACATGGAAAAAAATGTAGAAAGTTCATCTCTGATAATTATACAGCACTGAGACGCTCCTAAAAACTGAATGTCAACCCATAATCAAATGTTAGGAGGAAAGAATGTCCAATAATAAAATTGCACACAACTCACACTGAGAGATCAAACCCTCTTCCCTTTGTTTCTAAAATGAAATTAGTCAAAATGAAGAATAAAGTGGACAAATACAGTTTGTGACTTCCATTTTGTGTGCTCTTTGTCATACGGTATAAACGTGTTTCACCTCAAAAGGAACTAACAGAAAAAAAAATTCTAAGTTGTTTGAACTGCACCAGGATGTTTTCTGCCTCGGTCGTGTGTGCACAGTGGCTCAGAGAGTGATCCGCTTACAGGAAATAACCGTCTTTTGCACAAAAACAGAATGTCTTCGATTTGTTAAAGGTGAACCGATTAAGACAATGTTGTTTTTCCACCTTTGGTAAAAGTCAGATAAACATTTAGTCTTGCCAAAATTATGACCAGAAATTGAGCAACAACTATTGGCGTTTGATCAGAGCCACTCGTCTCTTTCTGATTTTTACATGCAGCATCGATTCAGATGAAAAGCCTCCAAGGCGTTTGTAATGCTGCGTTTATCCCACAGGTGCTGGCAACAGGCGAAGGCCAAAGGAGCTGAGATGCAGCTCTCCAGCGTGGCCGGCTGCCACGGCGACTGCAAGGATGAGGGATCATCTTCCGCCCAGCTGCTAATGCCCAGTTATCCCAGAGCCATTCATCATGGCTCACTGAAAGTTAGATATGCACTGTTGCCCACCATCCCACCCCTGAAGTCCCTCGCATTCCACAGTTCCCCCTTGCGGATCTTTGCTGCTGATAGGTGTCAGGACCTCAGTGATCCATCCACAAACCCGCCACAGAGCATAATGCTAACCTAGTTTGAATGAGAAAAGCTTAACTTTTGCCTCTGTAAGACTAAACAAGACCACAATCTTAACGGTTTTACTTTAAAGGCGGTTCATGAGGTGTTATGCATCACACAAAACAAAGTGCAGTAAGTGTTTTTTTTTCTTTTAATATGCACATTATCCTAGCTTGTAAATCAATTAAATGAAGATGAGTACTAAACTCATCTTCATTCTTTGAAGATGAGTTTAGTACAATAGATTTGGGTTTATTTGCAGTTGCAGCACACCAATGAAGATGCACATAATGCATAAAAGGCAGCTTTGTGTCAGTATTCAGAAGTGACTGTATGTTTTACTGCTGACACAATTGCTAGCAGTGTTGCCTTCCATCACAAAGGAGCTGGGATAAAACCCTGGCCACTGCTTTCTTCATGGATTTCACCTTGTTCCTGATTTACAAGATGGATTGTCTTTATGTGTTCAAGCTTAATTCCAAAATTAATTTAGGTCTCTAACCTGATAGAAGAAGTGTGTGCATTCAAGGATTTGTTTTGTTTCTCTCACTTTGTCCCGACTCTGTTACTACTACATTTTAAAAGTAAACTGGAGAGGAAACACTAAGCAATGTCAGAGCAAATATAAACTACACCTGCTTTGGCCAAGGACTGCTTAAGCCACACTTAAAATTTTGTGAATTTTGATGCGGTCAACGTTAACACCACTTACTGGTGCCAGAGTAGACAGTATCAAAATATACAGATCCAGACAATAGCTTTACAGCAGAGGTTAGCATCCTGCTTCAGAAACGTATTTGGAGAATATGCGAACACAGCGCAAAGACAGACAAAAAACAAACACAGAAGAAACTGCAGCAGCCAATAAAATCTTTCTTTTATAGTAAAGTCATTGCAAAGGGTGACCAACACTAATTGTTGTGGAAAGTTTCATTAGATGCAGGAAATAATGTGTCTGGTAGAGTTTTACAAACCCTGCAGCTCTTCTAGTGGATGGTAATAATTTCTAGGTATACAGTAGAAAAAATCATCTCCCTGGGAACAAACATACAGAATGAATGTTTTGATGGAGGTTTTCCACCAGTGCATGGGGAGCGTTTACACATGTATCCACCATTAGTCCTGTATGTGCTTGCCCCTACACAACCTATTGACTGAGTAAAGCGTGGAGGAGGCCTGGGTAATCCTGTGCCTCTCCAGTGACGTGCAACACTTCTGATTGATGCTGAGCTTAAGATGAAGCAAAACCAGCACACATATTGACAGCTTCCTTTTGCAGGGTGGCCGTCAGTTAAGTCTGTCATTATTTATCAGCTGATTGATGCCCTGGAAGACAGACGCAAAGCAGACTGACGACTGTTTTCAAGCTGCAGACGGGCTGATCGTACCTCTTGGAACCATAACTGAAAAGGTACTGAATTTCTGATTCAGTTGTCAAACAGTCAACATATTTGTGAAGGACCAAATGAAACTGGATGAAAGCAACCAATTTAGTGAGCAAACATATGAGGTATCTTGTGCTGGTATGTAAGGCATACTAGAGTATTTTCTTCTTTTATGGTTTACGGTTACACTGTTCTGTATCTGAGGCATATAATCAGCTGGAACCAGGACAAATGACTGACTTCTTCTGTTTGATGAATGTGAATACTTGGAACTATCACCCGAGCACCTTGTCCGAAAACCGGAGGAATGAGTTTAAAAATGGCAACAAATTGTATGCTGTTCACCAAATATTGATAGAAACAGAAAACTTAGCTTAAGCATAAAGTTCAGCATGTTCACTTCCCTGTCTTTCTCTCATGACCACATATTATGAGAAAATGTTTTGCTAAAGTCCTCCAGCACACACAATCAGCATATTCACAAAGACTGAGCACAGAAGTGGTACTCAACACCCAAAGGTCTTCTGTGCATCTCCTTGAAAAGCTGATGGGAAAGTATACCAGTGACCACTGTGGTTCCAGTTAAGAGTGGGTTATGCTCTGGTGCCTTGCTCAAAGGCACTCTGACTCAGACAGAGTGGATGTAGAGCCCGTGCAATTTTCAGGCCACCCAGTTTCTGTCCGCTTCAGCCAAAAAGTCGAGGTTCTTAACCCTAGACAATAAAAACTGAACACAATAGATGATGGACAGATTATAAAAAACTTAAACTCACTGTCTCAAGGAGAAATTTCTTTAAAGTGTCATGAAGGAATAAAAAAAGATGTTGCAGAAACTTAGTGGGAGATTTGGGAACTTAAATATTTTGGATGTATAACACAAACTATTTGATCTAAGGTGATTTGTTTAAAACCTTCAGGTATTTTAGAATTTAACAACAAAACAAACAAAAAAAAAAACACTAGAAAAACAATATAATAAAATATTTTATTTTATGGTAAAATATTTTATTTTATCATAAAATTAAATATTTTATTTTATTGTAAAATATTTTATTTTACGTAGCTTTTACTTGGAAAAACCTGCACATGCAAAGTGAGATTTCAACAACATCCCCCTCTCACCAGACACCAAACCCTCCCAGCTCTTACCATATTGTAGCAGGACTTCCTTTCCGAGCCAGTGAAGTGGTACGGATCAATGGTGTTGCACTTCTGCATGTACATCTTGAACAAGTTGTTGATGTGTTTCAGAGACATGGCGCAGACAGCCGAATTTGGGGTCGGCTCCGGAGAGCCTGGCTGGCCCTGAGCGAAGGCGGCAAAAAGCACATCTTCATTGTCTTCCACTTTTAGTTGATTCTGCAGTTCTGCGTCGTTGCGCACCTTGGTGACATGGGCGGCCTGAAGGATGTTGAACACCTTCACTTCTTCAGTGGTGCGTCTGCGTCTTTTGTTCGTGCTGATGCACTCCAGGGGCATTTCCACATAGCGCCGAATCACGAGGTCTGAGGAACACATGCGGACTATGCGGGTGTGGTAGGCTTGAGTGTCCTTGCTCACTTGCTGCACCGTAAGGAAGTAGGTGAAGGGTCCGCTGTGGAAGGAGTAAACGTATCGCAGGTAGTAGTGTCCTTGGAGAGAGGGGATCAGATCCATGTATGAAAGGCTAGAAAAAAAAGTGAAGCCATTTTGACTCGTCTTCATCTTCCGCTGTGAGATGGTGTGCAGACGCAAGACACTGCCTGATATGTTTCCTGCCTTAGGAATCTCAGAATTCCCAACAAAAAATGTGATGACATTGCTCTCCACGTTGAGCACTTGAGAACCTGATGGGCTGACAACAACATCTGCATCAATGGGGTGGCCCTGGCCTGGCTGCACTTTGTCTGCAAAGCAGTAGACTTCCTCGTCAATAGCTTTTAGGCTATTGCCGTCATCCAGGACGTGACGGCGGCACACGCCATTATCTACCGAACCACAGCTGTACAATCCCTTATCGTAAATGTTTTCCACCACCAGAGCGATATTGTGGTTGTCAACCCCACTGGTGCTGCCCGTTCTTGTCTGTGTCAGGCCACAAGCCTGGCTGGCAAGCAGGGGCCCTGTATGGTACTCTGACAGTTTTGTGAGGTTTGGGGCCAAGGCGTAGATTCTGTTCACAGCTCCAACGTAGATGATGCCTTCCAGGGTCACCATGTTTTGGATGGGGAAGTCTGCAGTGAAGGTTGGGAGCTCATAGGTCACAGAGAGATTTAGTTTGCTTGTCTCAGATGATTTATCACAGTAGTTCTGCATGCTGGGGCACAAAGCCCACAGCAACACAGTGGCATGGAGCAGCAGAAGATTCATCCTGTTCCAAAAATAAGACACAAGAAAGGAGTAAGAAAAACTTTTTATGCATAGCAAAGTCATTCATCATTGAAGTCTAAGCAGTCTAGAGGATGCAATTTGTGTAAAAGCTGAGAGACTTGCTGATTAGGGACAAGAGTGAAAAGAAGCGGAACAGTGAAAAACCGTCAGTGAGCAAAGCTAGGGTTTGCTCACATCACCATCATCAGTGAATCTTATTAATGCTCCACTGACTGAAGGCCTTATTCATAACAAAAACCTCTAACATTTGCCTTTATTTTGATAGCAATTTTGACATGAGACAGCACTGAACATGGGTAAAGCAGCTGCAAAGAAAGAGCCGAGCACCTCTGAGTTGCTTGGGTTCTGTTCCCAAGTGACCACAGCACAAGCCAATGGAGTGAATCACCCTCACCGGAGCGCGCTCTGCACGGCCATCCAACTGCCAAGACTAAGTTTAGATGGTGATACCCCAAGGGAGAAGAGATAAACTCAATTAGAGCAGAAGAAGCAGGAGGGAGATGGGACCAGAGGGACCGTCCGGCAAAATGATAAATAGCCCCACTGACTAAACGGCAATCCACTGGGAGATGCTTTCAAGGGATAAAGAACCAGAGGGAAAAAGAGTAGGCGATTCAGCCAGGACAATTTGCAAAATGTACATTTGCATGTTACATCATTGTGAAGGAGATCTTAACACCATCCCCTGATGTAAACTAGACCAGAGTTTCAATATTCAGGCTCATAGAAGAGCAAGTTTTAATTGGGATTTCCAGCACATTTCCTGAACACAAAAATACTTATTGGTTATTTCTTCAACCCTGATGCTGTTGGGACTGAGGCAAAGAAGCTTTTATCAAACACTGAATTTGTTGATTAAGTGATAATCTGTCAATCTCTTAATCTGTTTATTAAGTCTGTCACTTCATAGACTGACATTATAATGAGACTTCACCACAACTCTTCCACAGGATGAAGCAACACTAATAAGACAGTCAACTTTCCTATATAATGACACAAAAGACTTTAGTTTATATTAGAAGAACAACTTTGTACACCAATACTAACTCTTTATCTTTTATCTGCTTTATGTTCAACATTCACACTTTAACTGAAGAATTAATTCAAAAGTCTATATGGATGTCAGTTAGATGTATTTAATATTAACAATGACTTGTATTATCTCAATTCACTGTTAACTCAAATGAGTTTGTTTGATTTTTTTAAAAACCAAAACTAAAAATAATACACTTCAGCATACATACTACTTGTTGAGATGGAAATTATGGCTCTTTCTATTCCAGTGTTAACATCAGGCATTAATCATTTTAATCCATGTTTTGGATTGAAAACCTAATTTAGATATGCGGGGTCAAACCCACAACTCATCCCCGCCTTGCTAAATTAACCCAGGCACTGGATTGGTCCACATCTAACCTGATCTGAATAAGAAAACTAACTCAAATATGGTTATTTTTAACTCACCAGTTTTTAAAGTGTAGCTTAGAGTTGTTTTACAGTTTCTGGATCCTTTAATTTAGTGGATAAAACACAGTTGCCCTAACAGCAGCATGATGGCAGAAAATAATAAAATATGCATTGTTTTAAGAACACGTTTAAGGTTTATAACTGTACTGTTAGATGGAGGGAAGGGAAAAGGTTCACCACTGGAGAATGATGAGTAAAAGGGTCACATTTATGAATACCTGCACAGAAAGAAAAAGAAAATAGCCTGAGCTTTTCCCCAAAGAACAGGAGAGGAAAACAGTACAAGAGTTTTGCAGGATGAAAGGAAAATGACTCATACAGAAAAACACTTATGGGCAGTTATTGATAGAAGTGGTGCTGTGAGCCAGAGAAACATTTCAAAACACGTTGTCATGTTTAAAAGAAGAGGAGGAGGAGATCCAGAGGTAAATGGTAATGCCTTTGCGTTTTTACGCATGAGAACAAACATACAAAAACCCGCAAAGTTTAAGAAAAGATCAACAATGAAAAGACGAACTCACCTGTTAGGAGACAACAATTCCGTCCGTCCTTTTGATTCAAATCATAATCCCGCTGCCTGGTCCCTCTTGAAAAATGAGATTCCTCGACTTGTTTCTTCAAGAAATCGCAAGATGTAATTCTAGTTGGCTGAAGCGGAGTTTTATACATATATTTACAAATAAAAACGAAAAGGAAAAAAATTAAAGATAAACGTCTGACTCATTGACTTTGTTCGTTTTCCAACAAGGGAAACACAGTGAGGCGATCTGCGGTTGTAACGCGGAGTCAGCTCTGACCGACCGCGTCCAGCGGAGCGGCGCGGCGTGGCGTTGGCCCCGCCCACACCTCGGTCTGCCTCCCTCCGCTCCAGCTCCGTGACGCGTCCAGGTGCTGCGCGCGGTTCTGACGCCGAGTCGTCGGTGAAAACGATTCGAAGAGACATTGCACTGCGGATTTTTTTAGTCTACTTTCTGCCTGTACTTTTGTCCATCCTGACAAAAACAAACAAACAAACAAAAAAATAAAATAAAACCAAAACGTTTGTCCATTTACTAATGGTTTGTTTCTCATCACACTTAAACGTTTCTATTCATCAAACACATTTTAGCGCAAGATAACCTTAATAAGAGCAACAAACAAACAAACAAAAAAAAACCACAAAAAACATTTCTCAAATGATGATTTCATTTTGAAAAGGGGATAAAATAGTCAAAACTAAACTGGGTCATCTGGGATAAGGAAATCAACCTCTTATTAACTCATGAATGAAATGGGATCTGGTTTCAATTTCACTCAAATATCATGTGATTACCTATTCTAAAAAATAACATTCAAGAACTGAGGGGAAACAATGTTAAAAATCTGTCATTTTAATGGTTAATAAAGTCATTTTGAGGCTTTGGGACTCATTGAGAGCCAAAACAGAGAACATTTAGAACAGCCCTGGTGTGTGACCAACACATACTATTAATCTGACACTGCCAGTCTCACTTCCCTCTGAGTAAGTCAGTGTTCAACAACTTCAAGGGACCCGCCCACCATGAAGGGAACGCCATATTGGCTCCATTGGTAGCCACCTCTTCTTCAGAGCAAAAATTTACGTTTGCGATGGACCAATGTTGATTATAAAAGCTCTACTACATCACATGTCCTTTTAAATGATTTGGATTTAAATGAAAGGGAAGCAAAGACTGAGAGCTAACAGGGTCTTTGTTCTTCCACCTTTCTCTCATCCTGCACCCCTCTGAGTCAGACCTCTGGTCCTCATGTCTAAACGTCTCATTCCACCAGAAATAATGGGCTTAGCTCTGAAGGGTAAACCAACTATGTATGAGCGTGTCTCAGCAGTGAATCACTGTGGGCAGTGAAGAAGAAAAAAAATCCTTTGTGCCACTTCCTGAACAAGAGAGGGCATTTGGTGAGAAGACTGGCAGGCCTGATAAGAGAGCTAGGATGCAGACTGAGTAAGATGAGGCTGCTTGGGTTCACTCTTCAGAGCAAGGGATCTCATTAGACAGATGACCGAGGAGTTCCACAGGGTAGGTCACATGACCCGCCGCCACTGTTCTGTGGCTCTCATTCATTTGAAGTGTCATCACAGAGAACACCTTCCTGAATTTTAAATCTCCAATTATGTCCATTTCTCAGCCACAGTTGTTCTAACTTACACTCATTAACCCCATGAATGTTCCAATAAGCCACATTTCTGATTTTAATGACTTCTTTGACCAGTTGTCTTTCTGGAATCATAATGCCAAAGATGGTACAAATTGAATGTCTTTTGAAAATGACATTTAAGTGTGCATGTCACACTCTTTAAACTGTGAAATCACTTACCAAGTAGTTTTTTGCCTAGTTTCTAGAGAAAATAGATTGCTTTAAGTCAATAATTTCTTGATATTTTCACTGGCAGATTTTTTCACTGGTAATGTGAAAAATTACATTGCCAGTAATGTAATTTTACATTACAGTCATGTGGAACTAGTGAGGTTTTTTTTTTAATATCAATATTAAGAAATTATTGACCTAAAACAAGCTCCTGTATCTTCCGGAAGTGTTACTTGTAAGTTAGTTTTGTCTTGTTTCAAGTGTGTATTTGTACTAGAAACTGGAAAAACAATTCTTTGTCAAATTTTGTGTTTTTGACATTTGTGTACTGGTGTTTCTGTCTAGATTATTTTAGTATTACTGGCAGTAGCACAGAGTTTCCTGGTTCATTGCAGAGTTTGGATGTATTACTCTTGGACCTGTGGTAGTTCATTTAAAGAATCATTTCTACTTTATTTTGTATTCATTAGTTTCTCTGTATTTACTTTTATTTAATATATTAATCTGCATTGATTATTGTTTCATGTGTTTTTCAGTTTATTTGTGCATCAGTTCAGATTTCTTTCATATTTCTTCTGTTTTAATCCTTCCTGCATTCAGATAATTGTACTGAACTGGTTTCCATTCCACAATCCCATCTCCACAGTATTTATTTGCTTATTGGTTTATTTTGCTTGCTGCTGCATTATTCCACTATACTGCTCCTATTGCCTCTGTTCATTTGTGCCTCTTAGAATTCTGTAAATTTACTGTTTTATTTTTAAAATCCACAATGTGTATGCCATTGTTCTGCTGCAGTATGGGTCCTCCTCAAAACCCCACAGGCTGCACAGTGCAGCTTTGAATCAGCAGGGAAATGTATATCTACAAAATAACACAGAAAAGCTCAAATATACACATACAGCCCCACTGATATTCCTTTTAAACACTTTCTGAAGCTATCATATTTTTTTAACAAAGTAGCAGTTAATTCTCTTTGAAAGTTAATTCCAGGAGATTAATGGGAATTTACTACAGTCCCATTATTTTGTTATTTGTTTAATTTAGGATGACTGACCTGTTGAAATACTGGTCCAGTCCACTTGGATTCGCATTCAGAATTCACTTCAACTGAAGGAAGACCAAGGCTTTTAAGCAGACTAGACTTCGCTTTTTTAGTTTGCATCAGAGTGCGGTTGCACATTCACACCTCCCCAAACAAACCAGAGTTTGATTAAAGTGGACTAACACACCCTTAAAATCTGGACGGACTTAAACATTCTGCTTTATGGAAGGCTTGAACCTAGTTGGTTCTTTCCTTGTTCCCGAACAATTTTTTCATTTGATGCATTTTGTCTCTTTTTTTCAATCTTCTAGCAACATACGTGCTGTAGAAGTACAGAGGAATTTGGTCCAAGCAAGTTCTGACACAACTTGTTCACTTAACTTGTTGAGAATTTTATGAACCAAACTCCAAAGGCCACACTTCACACTTCTTTGTCTCTAAATGTAGCAGATAACAGCAAAAACTACATTTCTGATGGTTCACAAGTGATAAGCATGTTTGGACTCAAACAAGATTCGGAATCAAGCTGATTTACTGCGAGATGTGGCCGTTCTGTTGAGAGTTTTCTTTTTTCTTCCTAATGAACTTGAAATTACACAACCACACTCCCGCGCCCACTGCAGTGTTGTTGCCAGTTTGGAGGAACTGTTTTTGCCATACCTCAGGGCATTTCCAGCACATTTGCCAAAGGGGTGTGTCAAAGACAGGTTGTGTGCGTGTGTACACCCGATGATGGGTGTGTCTGTGTGGCTCCACTGGTGCTGAACTGCACTTGGCTCAGGCTGCTGTAGCAGCAGGAGGAGGAGGAGGGAGGAGGAAAACGTGGTAAACATACCATGAGGTTCAGTGGTGAACCTCGCACATGCTTGCTTTTGTTAAGTGCTTATCTGAAAGCATGACATGTCCTCCAGGAATGATTTGCATCTGACAACCACAACACCTGCAGCAGAGGAGACAACACTTTCTGGATCTGTTTTCCTCCCATGCTTCAAACTCTATTCATCAGTCCTGAAACAATTTAGCTTACACTGGTGATTAGCTACAAGTAAAGGAACATTCTCACTATCATTGCTCTAAAGCAGGGGTGGGAAATCCTGGTCCTTCAGGGTCCTGCAACTCTTGGGTGTCTCCCTGGTCTAACACAGCTGAATTAAATCATCGAATCACTTCCGAATCACAGTCAGGTTCTCCAGAGTCCTGCGAATGACCTCATTATTTGACTCAGGTGTGTTGAAGTAGAGACACATCTAAAAGTTGCAGGAGACCGGCCCTCGAGGCCTGGAGTTGCCCATCCCAGGGCTAAAGAATAAAGTAAAATGTCCAAAATTTTAAGAACAAATAATAATAATGACAAGAAAAAGAATGAATGTCAGTTGCAAAAATTCTCCCTAGAACATTAGGAGGAACGTCCAAATGTATGTTTGTAAGTATGTTTTCAAAATTGTATCCTGGCATTATTCTGGACACTGAATGGCGCCCACTGCTGGAAAAAAGACATGGGCAGTTTTTTTTTTTTTTTTTTTTTGTAAGATCCTGAAGGTCAATGAGACAATCTTGGAAACAAAAGTGAGACATTATAAGGCAAAGGCAGGGATGGACTGATTCCTCATTGCTCTGTTTCCTGAACTCAGCTGGATGGATGTTATTTATCTGCTCTGAGGTCAGGGCAGCATGATGCTGTGAATTCCCTTAAGGTCCCGAATGTTTCGTCCTGCAGACTGACTCTACATCTCTTTTAGCCCATCAACAGAGTGTTGACTTATAGCAGTTGTGACAAAATATGAGATACTTTAAGTTGTGTTGATACAAGCCTTTATTACTTTTACAAATCAATTGTGATCAACAAAATCTAGCATTTTTGACATATCCTTTTACAAAAAAGCCTTTAATGTCAAAGTGAAAACTGGTTTCTACAAGGTAATTCCAATTCAAAATTACCCAAAGGGAACTTTTGAATTAATATGTAACTCAAATTAATTCAAATGTTAATTTAAATGACAATTAAGTACAAATATATAGGTGCTATTAAAAGCAACATGTGCATGTGCACAATGAGTGACTGTAGTATAGACACCTCCACCTAGAAAGTCCATTCATAACAGTATTCCTGACTACCTTTACAGTAATTTGATTTACTCCAAGTAAATTAGATTTCAGGTTATTGAAAAGTATAAGTCAGGGGATGTATACAAAAACAATCTGAAAATCTTTTCAGATTGTTTTTGTATACATCCCCTGACTTATACTGTTGGTGTTTTACCAGTCAGTGCTAGGTAAAGATCTGACTGATCTCTGATCCCTCAGACTGCATTGTGTTTAACATTTGAAAATGCTCAAATATTTACTATGTTAAAATGAATCTTCTATATCATTAATGTAGTTCCAGGTTTTTCCTGGGC